TGCTAGAGGTTTTGTGCTGGGGTGGCGGTGGGCACATCCAGCCGGTTGAAGGCTACAGGAGAGACAGACAGACTCTCCCAGGAGAAGGGGCTGCGCAGGGGCCTGGGACCTGCCGTGCGGCATCAGCTCTCCCCTGGGCCCAGCTGCTGTACGACCTGCAGCCCTCGCAAGCCCTACAGCCAAGTGAGCCAATTCTTTAATCTCTCCCTTCTTTTCCCTCCCCATTTCTTTTCCACAGGGATTCTCACCTTGTGTCCATATCCTTTTTTATTTTCAGGAGCTGTAATTAGGAGTAGCTTATCTTGCATATAGTTAATGCTGAAATATTCCAAATCTTCAGGATCCTACTGTATAGACATCTCGACCTCTACCTTACAGCAACAGGGCAGCCAGCGTCCTGTTTCTTGCGGGTGGTTTTGCTGTCTGCACAGAGTAGGTGTTTGATACAGACTTGCTGATGGAGAGGTCCTTGAAGGGAAGCTGTCTTAGCGGATAGGCGGCTACTCTGGGCGAGGAGAGCGGAGACCAGAGGAGGGTGTAGCCTTGAGCTGTAGGGGGACCCAGTGGCCTTGTCGGACAGGACTGGAGGGGAGAGAGGATCTAGGCTGCCTGAGCGGCCTCCCCCAGGGGCACCTGCAAGGGCCATGTGCCTCAGGTCCCTTCAGTGGGGCCTGCAGACATCAGAGATTCTCAATGACATGGGCACTGGTCCCAGTGATGATGGGATGTGAATAGCACAGTAAGACAGGCAGCTGGCAGAGTCCTCATTGGCAGGCCACCTGCCCTCTCCCCAGGCTCCAGCTGCTGGTGCCCCGCAGGCACCATGAGGAGCTGGCTGGGCCAGACCCAGGCGCCAGCGCTGTCCTTGCGCGGGGTCGTGGCCGCTCCTAACGTGCTCAGCTGCTGTGGAATGAAGGTCCTTCTGCTGGCAGCGCCTCTGTCCCTGCCTCGGGCAAGAGGAGCACCCACCTGGGAGGGCCTCCTTCTGAGAGGGGCCCCCCCAGACCCAGTGGAAGGGACTTGCCAAGCCCGGCCTGAGCGGGGCTCCAGCTGCCTGTGGCTGGGCAGAACCAGGGCATGGAGAGTTAAGGAGAAGGGCCTCTGCTTGAGACCTGGCTGGTGTTTGAGGAGACATGGGAAGAGCATGTGTGTTTGTGTGTGCGCGTGTGTGTGTACATGTGTGTGTGTGCACGTGCACGTGTGTGCATGTGTGCACACGTGTGTGCATGTGTGTGTGTGAGACAAAGGCTGTGACCAGCAGAACTGGATCTGAATGCCGGCTCTACGTCTGTGATTTGTGCTTTGGAAGAGCTTCTTGTTCATTTCAAGCTCAATGTCCTGGGAAGTAAACGGGCTAACAGTGGGTGAAAGGGCTGAATGTGTCCTTCGCCTGGATTTACCCGGTGAAGTCCCCACCCAGCACCTCAGAACCTGCCTGTTTGCAGAGCGGGCCTTTCACTAGATGATTAATAATAACATTTCTCCCAAGAGGACATACAGATGCCAACAGACATATGAAAAGATGCTCAAACTCACTAATTACAGGGAAATACAAAGTAAAACCTCTATGGGGTATCACCTCACCGGCTAGAATGGCAGCCATCAATAAATCAACAAACAACAAGTGCTGGCGAGGGTGTGGGGGGAAAGGAGGCGCGTGCACTGCTGGTGGGAATGCAGACTGGGGCAGCCACTGTGGAAGACAGTGTGGAGGGTCCTCAAAAAATAAAAAATAGAGCTACCACATGACCAGGCAATTCCAAGTCTGGGTATTTATCCAAAGAAAACAGAAGCACTAACTTGAAAATATATTTGCACCCCTATGTTCACTGCAACATTATATATAGTAGCCAAGAGATGGAAGCAACCAAAATGTTCACAGACTGGGTAAATAAGATGTGGTCTACATGTACATGGAATATTACTCAGCCATGGAAAGGATCAAGTCATGGCACTGTGACAACATGGATTGTCCTAGGGCAGTGATGGCGAACCTTTTGAGCTCGGCGTGTCAGCATTTTGAAAAACCCTAACTTAACTCTGGTGCCGTGTCACATATAGAAATCTTTTAATATTTGCAACCATATTAAAACAAAGACTTATATTTTTGATATTTATTTTATATATTTAAATGCCATTTAACAAAGAAAAATCAACCAAAAAATGAGTTTGCGTGTCACCTCTGACACGCGTGTCATAGGTTCGCCATCACTGTCCTAGAGAGTATGATGCTAAGTAAATAAGTCACTTACATGTGGACTCTACAAAAAGCTCTCCATAGCCATAGTCATCACGGGCCTTGAACTTGAGGGTAACCTGGGCACAGTGTGTGTCCTCTGGAGCAGTGGTTGCCAACCGATGTTTGTCTGCAGACCACTGGTGGTGCGTGAGGTCGGAAAGGTTGGCTTTGCTGCCCTGGAGGGACACTGGTGCCTTCCACAATGAGGGTGAAAGGCAGCCCTTTCTCTCTCTTACCAGATCTGCCCTCTGAGATTTTTAAGTGCACGATGCGGCATTGGTAACGAGAGCAGAGTAAATGGGTAAATGGCAGCCACCGTCCTATTCCTGCTTCTAGTTGATTATTTTAGATTTCTCGAAGAATGGCATCCTGCAGAACGTGTCCTCCCGTGACTGGCTTACTGCACCCTGAGTGACACCCTCCGGTCCATCCAGGTCATCAGGCCTCACACGAAGTTCTGCCCTTTCTCTAGCAATAGCTGCCCAAGTCAAGTACGGCCATGGGGACCTGGTGGCAGGACATCCCCGGGAAAGGTCTGAGGGGCACAGCTCCCCGCCCTGGGCCAGGCCTTCTCCCACGCTCCCCCAGTGGCTCCTGAAGGGCAGAGCTGGTGAACGAGGTGAGGGCTTCGGGTGCTGGCCAGGCAGGCGACCAAGTGACCCGATGATCTGGTGCCAACAGGAGACTCCTATGAAGTATCAGGTAGAATCTTGCAAATGTGTGCAAACTCTGCATTCTATCCATATTCATTTTAGATGTAAAATAATGCTTCACGTCTTTACCGAGAAGTAGACTACAGTTACCCAAAGGGCGGGGTTCATGGGGTCCCCCCAGCACGCACCTGCGCACAGGGCACCAGCTGGGGGGCGTGGGCACCGTGGGCTGGCAGAGGGCCCTGGGGGGGTGGTTAGCAACTGGTCATTTAAGGTCTGACCCCTCAGGGGTATTCACTGAAGAGGAAACTGGAGGACAGCCTGGTTCTGTGATGCTCAGGGGGACTGAACTGGGGAAGGATGTCATCAGGGACCGCGGTCTCACCTGTCACCAAGGTCCTCCTGGGCCGTTGCAGTCCAGGTATGAGGGGCAGTGCCAGGCCCCCCGTCTGTCACTGCTGCTGGGGCTTTGTGGCAGGACGGCCTGAGCACCTCACCGGCGTGGCTTTGCACTCGGAACCTGTAACTGAGGAGGACGCCCCTGAGAGCTTGCTGGGCCGCTCACTCCCTTCACCCACACTGCTCCCCACACTCGGAGAGCAGAGCCCCAGAGATGGACAAGAGGGGGCCTCGCCTCTGGGGGCCCAGCCCACGCCCTCCCTGCCCTGCGGGGTCCAGGGGGAGCTCTGTGAGGAGCACAGCCCTCTGGGGAGGGTTTTACATGGGGGGAGGGGGCTCCTTCTCTGGACTCTCAGCCAAACCAGCCTCTGCCCACTGTGCCAGGGAACTACTTGGACCAGAATGCAGGGCAGGCCGGGCAGGGTGGCCAGGCCCCAGTGCCACTCTGGGGACTCACCTGGCAGCCTGGGAGGACGCGTGCCCTGGATCCTGCCAGGGTGTCCTGGAAAATGGGGTCTCCAGGGGGCGTCGGGAGGAGCTGAATGAGAGGAGGCTTCCTGTAGGCCCCTTGGAAAGGGAAGCGTATCGCTTGGCCTGTCTCTGGGAGGAGCTGCGGAGCGAGGGAACATGCTGAGCGCGGAGCACACTCTCCCTGAGACCATCTGTCTGCACCCAGTGCCTGGGCCTGCTTTCCGGCCAGCAGAGCTCACCTGAGCCCCTGGTGGAGGGGAGGGGCAAAGCAGGGAGAGCCGGAGAAGCAGGGACTGAAGTGCTCCCACCTGAGAAGACTGGCCAGCTGAGCTCTCTGGGGCCCCCACAGGGCTTTCTCCTGGGGCGGCACCTGTGCCCTGAGAGCAGCGCAGGGCAGGCAGCTGGGGCCAGGGCAGGAGGAGGGCAGGAGCCGGGGCCTGGGTAGGCAGCCTGGCCGCCATC